TATAGCCAATTGTACTCTCTTCTATAGTGGTTCATTGAACCACAATATCAATAAGTGATTAATAAAAGTCAAAAGACTAAAGAGGTCATCTTAAAAAAAAAAAAAAAAAATCTATTTGTGATACTTTCAATAACAATAAATATGTGCTGTACTTTGAAATTTTTTAAATCTTTAATACTGTGCAGAAAATTATAAGTATAATATCAGAAACTTATAAAATTGATTTGAACTTAAACATTATTAAAAATATGCTAGGTGTAATTGAAGCTATTGGAGATGCAGCCTAACTATACTTACCTCTAATTTCAACTATGACAACTATTATTACAGAAATATTTAATATTTACAAAAATATTCAATATAATAAAAATATTTGTAACTCTTTGATGAACTAAGTTGCTGCTGCTTAAGCAGCTATTAAAACTTTAGAAAGAAGGAAAAAAAAAATTATAAAAAAAATTTCTGTGATATCAATTACTATAAAACCTTTTTAAAATTCATCAACATAATGGAAAAGATGAACAATTCATTAAAAATGTATCAACCCTATCTGGGTTTAAAAGGTTAATACATGTTAATTTTGTTAAAGAAAAGTTCAGATTGCTTATTAATAAATTTGAAACTATTATGAATGATTTACAATTTGCAACAATACTCTTTAATGATGAACAGTAAGAAATAGATACAATAGCTCTTAAGTTTGATCTAGAAGAAATGTCAAAGGTAAAGTTTATATCAATTAGTGAATTTATAAAATTTTTAAGTAATTAATTCATAAGTTAAAATTACATAGTTTTTGGAAGTAATTGGTAGTAGTGTCATTGATACTAATCAAATATTAACAATGTTCTAAAAGAAGCATTAATTATTAAAAATCAATTAAGATGCCAAAATTTTATTATTAAAAACATCAGAGTGATAGAGATAAGCCAAGAGAATTAAATGACCTCCAGATTGGAAATTCTACTGACACATAAGGCAATAAAGAATTGCCTCTTGTTAAGAAACTGCTAAATGGAGCTATTAAAGATGCCTGTAAATAAACAAAAATTATAGATAATAAAACATCTGAAAGTCAAAAAATTCAAACCAAGCTTGCCATATTAGAAAAATTAAAAGATTCTCCTAAAATCCTTAAATTTTATAATATTTTAAAAGTTGTAAACTATCAAGTTATGGTTTTTGAATGGGCAGAACATGGCACATTTCAAGAATTATATAGTAAAAATAATATATTATAATGTTCAAAGGTACCAATAGCTTTTGATATTTGTCATGGTCTCATATTTTGCATACTTGTAAAATTCTTTATCATGATATTAGGTGTACAAATATTTTAGTAGATAAATTTATTATTACAATTATAAAATCAATATTTGTGAACTATAATCATAACAATAAACAAACTAAACAGATGACCTCACGACTCAAACTGAAGATAGAAATTTTAAATATGCTTGTTATAATTTATCATATACCAGTAAAATAAATTGTTTAAATGAAATTATGGCTTCTAAAAAATTAAAGGAACCTCCTAAAAATTCCATGCGATATATATTCAAATGTAAAATATTTAGGTAAATATTTCTTTGATTCATTGAAGTTATTAATTATATTTTCTTAATTTATTTTTTTAAATTAGTTTCAGAATGATGCTTTGAGAACTTGCATTTGAAAAAATTTCATATACTAATATGAAAATAAATAAAATTAAGAAGCATATTTTAAAGAGTAATTGAGAAAAAATTTTTTGAGAAGTTGGCTTACCAGATATTCAAAAAATTCAGTGAAAATTTACAAAAATAATGATTTCAGATAACATTTTTTTTACATTTGATTAATTCTAATCTTTATTCTTTTTGGTTTGCTAAAGTTTTTTTTACTATAAAACCTGGCAATAAGATATAAATATTAGAGCTTCTCTTTAAGATATTTTTTTAAAACTAAATAAGCTATTCGTAGCCTTTGCTAAATCAGGTTCTTTTCTGTCACTGCTTCCTGATGAGACAATTGATTTTGATGGATCTAAACCTCAACCACAACCTATAGAACTTCCTGAAATGATCATGAATTTTAATTTTCCAAAAATAATGCCTTTTGAAGAAGACATTAAAGCTTATAAAAAAAAAGATTATAATACAGCTTAAGATTGTTTTCAGGTCTATTCTAATTTGAAAAATGCAATAGCCAAATATTAAATGAGATATTATTTGTTTGAAGGATATCTTTCTGGAGTTAAAAATCTTGTTAAAGCAAGTCAATTATTCAAAGCATTAGTTGATGATGAAATTCCTAATGCTTAATTACATTATGCATTTTTATTAACCAATATACTAGATATTAAATTCAACAAGAAGACATTTAGTGAATTTAGTAAATATCTTACAAAAGCAGCTGATGCTAAAAATGTCACAACTCAATATAATTTTGGTGATATGTATTTAAATAAAAGATTACTTTGCCTTGTAAATAAATATTTGGACATTAAATACTTAAAATTAGCCACCTTTAATAAACATCTTAATGTGATCAAACTTCTTGAAAAAAAGAAATTAATATTTTTAGTTAAATGTTTAATTTTTTTTTTAAAACAATTTAATATGAATGACTGAAAAAAAATAATTCAATTATTCTTTTTTTTAAATATTAACAGTGAGGCCATGCCTTTAACTTTATTAAAATTCAATTGAAGTTTTTACAAAGAAAAGCTTGCTTTTAAATTACATATGAAGAATAAATACTCAGATATATAATCTGTGACCTAAACCTAAATTCAATTATTCTTATTATTTTTATTATTATATTTTCTTTAAATATATATTTATTTGCATCAAATTTATACAAGTCAAAAATAGAATTAATATAATAATATATAAAAGACAAACTTGACCCTATTCAATAAAAAGTCATTATTTTTTGCTCAAATTATATATTTAGTTAAATATATCTTAAGCTCATAATGTAATCTAACTATATATTTTTGTAATAGATTTTGCTTAATAGTTAACTAAATTCTATAAACTTATATGATGTCTTTATAACAATTTCTAATTTATAAAATTATACATTTATAGTAGTAATATAAGAATAATAACCTTTGAATTTTTGTTTTTTATTTTTAATTTTTTTTAAAAAAATAAAAATATATGAAAATTTCAAAAATAAAAACCATCATTTCTAAAATATATAAAAACAATAATTTTAAAAAACCAGATTTTATAGTAATAAAATATATTTTATAATTTCTGTTATTAATAAAATATACAATAAAGTTTTATCAGTATTAAGTATTAATAATTAAAAAAAATATGTTTTGTATTTTTCAAGAAATCTCAATACTCTAGACTTTAATCATCTTCTTCAACTATTTAAAATATACAGTATAAATAAGATAAATAATATGTTAATAAATAATTTAATGTATAAAAACCAGAGCAACATCAACATTGGTAAAAACATAATCATTATATTTTTAAAGACCAGAAATTACAGATATTTTTTTGGAAAAAAGACTGATCATAAAAACAAGTTTTTTGTTAAAACTAGAAAAATACAAATTTTTAAATAATACTAACTTGAAATATCTGAGATTTTAAGATCTATTTGTTTGGAATCTAATAAAATATATTTATGATTAGATAAATTTATAAATATTATTTTTTTTAAGTAATTAAATAATATTAACTTAATAAATTATTAGTATTTAGAAGATTTAATTGAATGAATTAAGGTATGAATCCTATAGCTTAGCAGTTAAGCTCCAATACTCTCCATAATCAAAGTCAATAGTTCAAGTCTAGCTAGAGACAAAATTAAAAGATTTTAGCTTCTGTAACCTAATAAGAAGTCTGTAATTGAATGCAAAACCCTGTGGTTAAAGTCTAAATGCAGTATAATGATGGAAGTAGAAATTCCTAAAAAGAGACCCAATTGTGGAGTGAAGACATTATGTATAACAAGTAGTTGTTACAAAAGATTATAGTTATAGAAGAATTGCACATATAAGTCTTTTAGGCTAAGGCAGTACCAACATCCTTATATCTCCTAATATAGACAGTACTAATATTTCTATACCCAATTTGTAAGATACTTGCTTGAAAAGATAATCAACAAATTATACAAATAAGTCTTAATTGGAATTCAAGAAGAGAATTTGATTGGAAGAGTAGTTTGAAAAGTAACTAAGACTGGAATGATAAGAGAAGCAATGAATACAAAGATGAACTATAATAAAGGATTGGTCTAACCAAAAATTGGAAACACCTCTAGTACAGTCAAATAATCTAATTATAGAAAGAAAGATCTTAGAGATAGATGTATAACTTCCTTGTGTAATGTAAAAAATACCAAATTAGGTTCTAGTTATACCTATATAGAAATCTATGATGAACAAGACTAGAGATCAACCAACCAATATGAAATAAGATCTGTAAGATAGTATGGTATCATTGGGGTTGATGTAACTCCTTGGGCATAATCAGAATTGTTTTATAAGTATTCTTGAATAAGTTGGAAGCTTGCAATATATGATAGTATAGTATCACTAGAGTTGAAAGAACTTACTAAATATAATCATAATTATCTTGTTTATAAATACAACAAGTCTCAATCTCTATCATAAAAGGAAATATTATATTGGAGATTAAATACAGCATTGAGTCACTGTATGATGCTAAGACCTGAGACATCTACAGGAATGATGACAACAGATTTGGTTTAAGATATAAATTGATCAAAAGACTAATGACAGCAACAGATCTGACTTGAGATACAGATTTATTGTAGATTCTGGACCATTATCAAAACATTTTAGAGAAAATAATAATAGATATACCAAAGATGAGAAGATCATAAGAATCAGATATATCTAAATAAGACCAATTTGAAAGAAGTATAATAATAAAAAGATGAGAAATGTGAAGAACAAAGTAATACTAAATATAATTAGATTAGGAACCAGAAGAAACAAGACCAAATAAAACATATGAGTGGGACATATAGATATGATTTACAGAAGACAGTACATCTGACATTTGGAATGTTGCATTAAGTTTAGTAGATATCCTTGTCTGTATAACAGTTTAATATATGTCATGACTACAAGTGATTGTTAAGATAACTGTGTGCAAACATGTAGTGAACATGCACTTAGGTGCCATAATGATAACCAGATGAAATCAGTGATGTAAAATTAGATAGTATATAGTATTAGTAATAATTGATCCTAAAATATAACCATAAATTTGTACTAGTGTTGTTAGGTGAAACTATTTTTGTTAAATGGCGAAAGTCAAAACTAAACCCAGTGAAAGTCAAAATTGGCGAAACTCTGGCAAAATGTCGAAACTCTGACAAAACGTCAAAACTCTGACAAAACTCCCAGTAAAGCTAAAACCCTTGGAGAAAGTTAAACACAGTGTAGATTAAATCCTCTAAGATTTTGGAAAGACTGAACCACATTGGTGAATCAAAATATTTTGCATGTGGCCATTAAGCACAGCTGGCTTATATAAGAATGTACAAAAGCAATAAACAAAGTGATGTTCTTTTATTTGTATTTGAATACACAAAGTGATGGTCTTTTATTTGTATTTGAATACTATTAAAAGAAAACTAGACTTCGGGCTTTTGAACTTATAATAA